TCTTGGAAATGTATAATCTGTAACTCGAGAAAATTTTGATTTTTACCCAAATCTTTCACCTCAAATTTATTTTCAAATAATATGCAGTTTTGTTGATTTCTTCATGAGTTCCAATTCGATGTAAATTATCAATATAAATTGTCACAATTACAAATTCAATATTTGTTTTCTTTTCAAAAACATAGACAGATTGTTATTTTTATAACCTACTTTTAACGAATATTCATTATGGCATTTACACCACATTTGTCCGAATTATTTTAATCCATATAATGTGTTGGAACGTTCCCAACATAATGATCTTTACAATTTTGCCGATATTTGATGGGGATTTAAATCATGTTTTTAACATATTTGATAAAAGTTGATGAAATGTGTGATTGAAAAATCGTGAATCCCATAAAATATGTGGTTAAAATTTATTGTTAACTGCAACTTAAATTAAAACCTAAATTTTAATTTCTACCAAACATGGGATTAATTGAAAACATAGTTTTGGGGAATATATCATTTGTTTATGTCACTTTAAGTCCTTCAGGAATTTTCATATATACGTCATTATTAAGTGAGCCATATAGATAGAATATTGTTATATTCATAATTAAGGTGCCTCTCGAGCCTACACAATCAAATTAATTAAAAGTATAAATGTGACAAATTTCGACAGGGGTTTTCCCTCTTTTGGGGATTTTGGCATTGTGTTGGATGGAAAGTGCTTGATCTGAGTTTATTTTAATGTTCGAGAGGTTTGGCTGCAAATATGTTTTAATTCAAGGAGACTATTTAGGGTGGAAGTTTGGATATATATTTTTAATCCTTTTTTCCTTGTACAATAGCCTCATTTATAAGCTTATTAGGGGCATTTTGGTCATTTCGAGAGTTGACGTTCTCAAAATATTATGTTGGAAGTTAAGATTAAGTCTTATTTTCAAAGTTTGTTGAGGTTCGTGCTTTGTGACACCTGTCTGGCAATCTATTGCGTGCACCCATGGGTTTAGCGTACTAAAGTCCTTGTTATGTTGCTGGTCGAATCTTCCAATAATATTTCTAGCCAAGTATTAGGGTTCTGCATGCTCCAATTCTCATGTGATCCTCAACTGTCGAGGAATTTATTGCTCAATGTGCCTCAACAGACGAGGCGGAAATGTTCAACAATACGTGTGTGAATTTATGTGAATAATAATTATTTCAGCAAGTAACAACAACAAATTGTAACTTCCTACATCCTTAATTAGACTTACTAAGTAGATTTGGAGTCTTTTTATGGGCTTCTCGCGGCCCAAAAAGCAAAACCCTAACTTGTGCAGCATAGCGCCTAAGCGCTAGGATTTAGTGCCTAGGCGTCGCGTCAAAAATCAAGGCAGCGCTACAAATCTGTGTTTTCTAGGTAAAATAGCGCAGGGCACTAGATTGTAGCGCCAGGGCGCTAAGTCACAGTTCCGAATTCTGTGCTTTTTTCAGTATTTTTGTCATAACTTTCTCTTCCGATATCCGATTGAGGTAATTCAAAATGAGTTGGAAAGCTAACTTAAAGGGCTAAAACTGTTCTTCAGAAATCATCTTCAAATTCAATCGTTTTCTATGTCAAATATGGATTACAATATGAGTCTAAAAATCGATGC